GGGAATGTGCAGTCTCCAGGAAAAGAAACATAAATTATTGAGGCAGCATATGAGAGGGAGACTTTCTCTCAGCTGGGAAGTCAGAAAGATCTGGAGGAAGTAATGCTTAAACTGAGGTACAAGTCAGGTGAAGGAGAAAAGGAAGTGAGTTCTGGGCAGGGGAAACAACACGGGCAAAAGTTGAGAGGTGAGAGGGAATTTGGTTAGGGGCAACACCATACTGTCCTGATCTGTCGCAGGCCATAGTTAAGCCAGGAATCCCCGTGTAATTACTAATCACAATGCCTCTCACTTTCACAAGGGTCCTTGTTGGTCACCCTAAGTGAGGTGCTTCTGAGAAAAATGATGGGAAGGGGTGGGAAGGAGCTGAAGGTGGCCATGAAAGTAGGCAGAGCCTCAAAGGTCACTTTAAATACCACTGACATTGGCCTCAGAGGCCAGAGTGCTGCATGGAGTGTGAGGACTGGAGTGATTGGAGAGCCATGTCCTGCCTAACAGGGGGGCTTCTGTCTAACTGTTAGCCTCATGTTGCCAAGCATTCCAGTTTTTCAAAGGAAGCTATAAATCTAGATTTCACTCCGAAATCTCCCAATTTTAAATGTCAACAACTACTCAAACAAGCTCGTGTGGGCCAAATAAAACCTGAGGGCTAGATTTGGCCCGAAAGCTGCTACTTTGAAATCTCATTTCTAAACTGGACATTGTAAAGAAATAAGAATTTCCAAAAGGAAAGTCTGTGTGTTTTCCCCTGGGAAAGCGAGATCTATACCATCAGGGCACACGTCTCTGGAGAAACTCTCCAGAGAATGCAGGAAAATACATTTCTAGTAACTTTCGCATGCATCTACAGGGGAGACAGGTCACGATTAATTTCTCTAGTAGGTCATTCTGCCACCAGGCAGGAAGGGATAATGAGGTAGGAGGACTCACTCCATGGTGCTCTCAGAGGTCAAGAATAAATCCTTGGAGACCAAACCAAGTGGGCTCATCAGGAAGATCCTACATATGGAGAAGACATAATCGCAGCCTATGATTATCCCAGGATGGATAGAGGGCAAACTTCTGTACCTTCTATTTTGAGCACTGGCCATATCAAAAGTAGTGAAAAGAAGGACAGAGGTGAAATGCTAGCAGTTGGAATCGTGGTGCCATTACCGCAAACCCAGTTTCTTGGACCAAGTAGGAAAACAGAATCTTTGGGGAGACAGTGATTTTAGCTGCAACATGGGGTCAGCTGCTATATCAGAGGTTCAGAATAACAATCAATGTTCATTTCCTTCTCCAATCATGGTATAAGAATATGGAACTCAGGGTTCACATGGTGGTTCCACAGAGTCAAGATCCAGACTCCTGTCTCACTCTGGCATTCTTGGGTATTGTCCTCATCTGTGAGATCCAAAATGGCGCACCACAACACTCACACTCCAGTCAGGAGAAAGACAGTAAAGACAAAGAGAGAACACTCCTTCTGTCAAACGACCCGACTCCAAAGTTGTTCCCTTCACTTCTATTCATATCCCATCAGCCAGAACCCAGCCACATGGCCACTACAGCTGCAAAAGAGCCTGGGACCTGAGTTCTTTCACAGAGTGGCTATGTGAGTTACCCATTGCAGCATAGCAAAACACGTTGAAACACAGAGGATTGAGACATCCGCAGTTTACTATTTCTCACAGTTGTGTGAGGTGACAATCGGGGAAGTCGTTCTGTTGGACTTGCCTGTGGCTGACCAGGACTGGAAGGTCCATGGTGGCGTTATATGTGCATCCAGGAGTTGCGACGGCTGTCAGCCAGGGCCTCACCTGTCTCCTCTGTGTGGTCACTCATCCTCCAACGGGCCGGATGGACCACAACGTGGGGACCTCAGGTTCCAAGAAGGGGAGAGTAGGAGCTGCCATGCTTCTCTTTTTTTTGAGTCAGGGTCTCACTCTGTCACCCAAGCTGGAGTGCAGTGACATAATCACGACAATCACGGCTCACAGCAGCCTCAACCTCCTGGACTCAGGCAATCCTTCCACCTCAGCCTTCCAAGCCACTGAGACTTCAGATGCCACAAGCCCAGGTCATTTTTTTTTTCTTTTTGGTAGAGACAACGTCTCACTATGTTGCCCAGGCTGGTCTTGAACTCTGGGGTAGAGACAAGGTCTCACTATGTTGCCCAGGTTAGTCTTGAACTCTGGGCTCAAACAATCTACCTGTCTCAGCCTCCCAAAACACTAGGATTACAGGTGTGACCCACTGCTCCAGGCCCTGCCATGCTTCTTAAGGTCTAGGCTCCAGAATTCACACACTCATACCACACCCTATTGGTCAAAGCAAACCATAAGACCAACCCAGGTTCAAAGAAGTAGAGAAACCCGTTTCACCATGCGATGAGAAGGGCATCAAGGACACATTGCAAAGGAGTGGGCCAGGGAGGCACCATTCACTGGGAACCACAATTATAAGACTCTACCAAGGTGGCCCAGGTAAGACATGTATTACTAAATAGGAAAAGGAGGATGTATGCTGAAGGAATTTATTTATTCTGAAGCAAAAGACCCCCAAAAATTAAATCAAGGGGAAGCTTTTCTGGATGCAGTCGCTTATCATCAGAGATTTATAGTCCTGTTTATTAGTAACTTTGTGGCCATGCTGGGATAATTTTGTCACTCGAAATGATTTACTTTTCTAACCCATCCTAAAGCTTCTATCAGGCTGAATTCAACACAAGCTTCTAATTCAAAACTACCGATACAGACTCTGAGCCCACAAAGCCATAACAGCCTGTACAAGGACAGGTGACTACAGGTGCAGGGGCTCTCGCCCTTCCTGGGTCAACTGAGGACTTCTGGAGATATTGAGGACTGCTATCTTTCAAATCCAGGAAAAAGAAAAATGCTTAACAGATCTTAGGTTCAAGTCAGGAGAGGAAATTGTGTATAACTATCTAAAAGTAACCATGTGTTGTAACACAAATGCCCAAGCTTCTGTCCACTCTCCTTGCCTCACATGTGATACCCTCTGCCAGCAAAATTTCTTCCCTACTTAAGTCAGGTGTCATCTCCCTTGGGGACCCTTCCTTCACTTCCCTAAGGAGTAAAGCCTCCCTCCTCTGATCACATCTGGAACAGGTGTCCATCTAAGCCATGATTTTCTTGTGTTTCAATGAACATCATGAAACGGACGTATTTTTTGGTCCAAAAACATGTTGGCAATTTAATATGCTTCAACTTAATATTATAACAGCTAAATAGCCACTCTCTCCCCATACTCCCTCGTGCCTGTTGCAAGGCCATTCTCTGAGGCTGCTGGGACAATAAAAAAGCTTTAGGGCTGGACAGAGTGGAATTAAATCCCAGCTCCATTTCCTTCTTAGCGGCATGACCTCAGGCAACTGGTATGATTTATCTAAGCCTCAGTTTCCGCGTAAGTGAAATTCAGATCATAGTAAATAGCAAGTGGCAGCACTTAGCAGGAGAGGTGTGAGAATTAGACAGGATGCCTTTTAAGGCCAGGGTAGTGGTTATTGCTTTCACAAAGTATGGCACATGGGCACTGGGAGTCCTCCCTCTGAGGAGGAAGGGCTGCCTGGAAGCAGCTATCAAAGTGTTACTTGCACACACCGTTGGCAGCAAGTGCTGTTGGCACCTACCCTTATCCCTGTTGGCCTTTCCTGGGGCTGTGCTTGCCTGTCAGACTTCCAGCTGGCAACCCCAGAGCTTCCAGCTCTGGCCACCAGAGCCTGCTCTGCCCACATTTAGAGCGGGATGGAAGTGCCAAGGGATTAACACCATCTCCCCACCATGAGAAGCCCTTAACTATGTGGAATTGGTGTAGACGTACCCAGCTCCTTCTCCCCTCGGATGGGATGACACTGAGGCATGTGTTCTACACTGTTTCACAGAACTACCCAGAGGATTAAGCTCCAGGGACTCACAGCAGCCCCTCGATGAATGATGCACCTATTATTGGCCTCCTTCCCTTTCCCAGTTCAGTCCCCACACCTCTTGATATTTCCTGGCGCCACCTCTTAAATACACTTCTTTCACTCAAATTCTTGGGTTTGCCTCTGGGAGAGCCCAAACTTTTAGGGATGTATCCTATATATTATTCTTACACATATCAAAAATGACATATTCAATTTATTAATTTGGCATTATTTGTAATAGTGAGAGACTGAAAATAACATATCAAAAGGAAACTGGTTAAATACATTATGCTACACACACAATGGAATACTATGCAGTTGTATAAAAGAACGAAAAGGTAACATGTCTCGGTATGAAACAATATCTGTACTATATTAATGGAAAAAGCAGGATACAGAATAGTGTAAAGTATATTGCCATTTGTATTTTTTAAAAAGGCTTGTGTGTGTGTGTTTGCACATGGCTAGAACCCTTCTGAAGAAGACCCCAAAACACATAACCTCACTGCCCCTAAGGAGGGGACTTGAATATCTGGGGAGGGAGACTCTTCACCGTACACCCTTAAGCATCTTTTGATTTCTGTACTATGGACAGGTTTATCTATTCAAAAAATACAAGTAACATTAAAATAATAAATGAATAAAGGGAGGTTTATCATTCCTCACTGGGGACATCTTGACTGGGCCCCTCAGCTCTTGTGAGGAATGAACTTGGACAGGCTCCTGCCTGCCAAAGAGTTCTGGTTCCACCCACGGCCTCTCGTGGAGTCTGAGCTGGCTGCGTAGGCATCTGCAGGTCTGCGTGTTCGTCCATGGAGGGAACTCTCACTTCCTTAAGCAGGGAGAGGCCCTCCCGCATTCCCCTGTAGGTTCACCCACAAGAGCCGCCGTCACCTCTCCTAGAGGAAGGCCCAACGGCCTCTTCACCCACACACAAGGGGACCTGAGCAAGTCCCTTCCGCTTGTGCTAATGACACTTGCGAGAGACATCTGAGTCACGCACACAACTCACACCCACACGCATGTACACACACAGGAACGGAAACCCAAGCCGGTCTTTTCTGAGTGAGACATCACCCAGGATTCCCAGGTCTGGGGACCCGCACATTGGTCTGGCCACAGTCCTGCTTGCTGCAGAGGGGCTCAGTGGGGAAGGAACGGTTACTGGGGTGGGTCCGCCTGGGGCCCTGCTTCACTCATCATGTCCTTGTACTGCCGTTTGAAGAAGCCGAGCTGTGGGGGGTAGAGACAAGGAGTAAGGGCCATGGAAGCCAGGGAAGCAGAGGAGGGTCACACAGATCAGGAGGGCAGGACCAGAAAGCGTAAAGAATCCAAAGAATCATTGGCAGAGTGCAGATGGGGCCTGGAGAAGCAGGCGAGGAGGGAAGCCACATCTATGTTGGGGCCAGAAGGGAAATGTGAAATATAACTACTCCTTATCCAGTGGTCATCCTGTGCCAGGGGCCGTTCTAAGTGATCTGCATATATTAACCCAGTGACCTTCACAAAATGGGCGTGGAGTTCCTCATGTTGCAGCTGAAGAGACTGAGGCATAGAGTGAGGCTCTGTGACTTGCCCAAGGTCCCACAGCTAGCAGCACCAGTGGGAGTCGAACCCAGTCATGAAGCTGCCACGTGAGAGGCAGAAAAGGAGGAAGGGAGTGGGCAAAAAGGGAGCAGCAAGGGAGCACCTTGTACAGGCCGGCCGTGATGAGGGCCAGGAGCACCAGCCCCCCGATGGAGCTGCCCACGATGAGTGGTAAAGGGTTGTGAACTACATGCGGTTCCACTTTGGTCTCTGTCTAGAAGAGAAAGGAGGTGCATCAGGGGAGCCAGACTCTGAATATCTGGGAATTTCCCCAGTCAGAACTTGTGGGCCTCCTCCTTATGTCCCCCAATATCCTAGCCCCCACTCCTCCTTCCCCCACCACCAGCTCCCTCGTTTTCCCTCCTCTCTCTCTCTGTCTCTGTCTTTGTCTCTCCTCCCCTCACCCAGAGATCTCCACAAGCCCAGTCTCCCTTCCTCCCTCCAACAGTCCCTCTGTGCCGGAGACAGATACCTGGGCCCTCACAAACGCTTCCTGTCCCAGAAGCAGGGCAAACACAGAATTGTTAAACAAGATCTCAGCTGTGCTCACGACCAGGAAGTGGCTATGTGAAGTCTGTGGAAGAGAGCGGAGTTGGAGCTGGACCTGGGGCCCTGAAGTACCACGTCTGTGCCCAGCAAAGCCTCAGGACCCCACATACCTTGATATACCAGTTAAATGAAAGGTTGCCCTTAAGGGTGGCATCAAATTCTTCCTGGATGCCAAAGAATGGGATGTCGCACTGGATTCTCTGGCAGACAGCAATGGAGCAGTTCTGGGGCAAGGAGGAGAGATGAGAGGTGACCAAAGAAGCTGGACGCAGAACACAACCCTGAGCACTCCGTGAGATTGTACTGGGCTCTAATGAGGGAAGCAGGAGCACTGGGTCTGCGTGTGGCCCCGAGGCTGGGGTTAGTCTTCTACTCACCACCACAGGGGTCTTCTTAAGCTCAGCCTGGAAGTCAGAGTGAGGGGGGGATCTCTCCTCAGTGTTGCATGTGCTCAAGAGGTTCTGAGGAAAGAGAAACACTGTGAGAAGGGAGAAAAATGGGGGCTCCGGAGTCCATCCTTAAGGAGAATGAGATGGCCTGGGTCCAGGAGAGCCTCAGAGCAGCTCCAAAATCCAACAGAGGAAACAGATGAAGACTTAAGGGAAGACCAGGGCTGTGGAGGGAGAAGCCTACTTCTCAGGCTGGACTCACCTGGGAGAAGGTCACCTCGGGGCGGTTCCAGATGGTCACCTGGTTCAGCCGGATGGGGACCCAGAAGACCACGCTGATGGGGAGGTTCCTCTGCCCCAGGTTGTTGAACTACACCAGGGAGGGTGGGGATCAGGCCTCTGGCCTTCCTGCCCCGACCAGTTCCTGGAACCCACCTCACCCTCTCTATGGCCCAGTACACCTGAATAAGGCCGCACAGGCCCATGCCTCCTGCCCATACTGGGAGGTGGTAGAGGGTGGCCATGAAACACACATTTGAGAGCCAGACAGAATGGTCTCAAGTCCTGGTTCTTCCACTTAGGTGTGAGACCTTGGATATGTTCTCTTAACTTCTCTGAGCCCCAGTTTCTTCATCGGTAAACTGGGGATAATGATAGTGCCTCACAGAGTTGTCACGAAAATAAATGAGGACCAAACGCAGTGGCTCAACACTTGTAATCCCAGCAATTTGGGAGGCCAAGATGGGAAGATTGCTTGAGCCCAGGAGTTCGAGACCAGCCTAGGCAACATAGTGAGACCTCACCTCTACCAAAAAAAAGTCAAAAAAACTAGCTGGGCATAGCAGTTCAGGCCTGTAGTCCCAGCTACTCGGGAGGCTGAGGTGGAAGGATTGCCTGAGTCCAGGAAGTTAAGGCTGTGGTGAGCCATGATGATGCCACTGCACTCCAGTCTGAGTGACAGAGTGAGACCCCAACTCAATTAAATAACTAAATAAATAAATGACGTATATGTGTGTCACATGCATATGTGCATGCTTGTGTGCATATAGCAAGACAGTAAGCTTGGGAGTGTGTCTGGCACGTCGGGCCCCACGCACGTCTCCCATCAGTGTTTCTGCATTCTCTTCACATCAGTTTTCCTCCCCAACATCTTTCTCAGGACACAGATATCCCCAGGTCTCCACCTGATATTGGTGCTTTATAGCCCGACTGGTATTCTCTGAGGGTGTGAAGTTGACATATTTGGTAGAGGTCTCCTGGCTGAAGGGAGAAAGAAGAAGGGGCAGGAGTGACAGAACATGAGGGGTGTCCTGGGAGAGGGTCTCAGACTAAGGGTGTAAGCAGTGAACAGGCAGCCCTGAGGGGGTGGGGTGGGGGGATTGAGAGGGGGCAGGAATGTGTGCTGGACACACAGTGTGTGCTCGTTCGGGCCACACACACATGCACAAGTACACACCCATGCACACACACGCACATAGATCCTCAGGCACACAAGCACAGACTCACACACACAAACACACGAGTGGCAGTGTCCAACTCCGCAGTGGAGACTAGAGTCCTGGAAGCCAGCACCTGGTGACCACCATGTAGACAGCATATTTCACAGGCAGCTCCCGTTGGAATTCAGTTTTGTTGGTCCTGGGCATGTTGTTCTCACTAAAGGGAAAAAGGCAGCTCTAACCAGCTCTTGAGAACTGAGTACCAGCCTTTCTACCTTTCTCTCCCTCACCCCACACCTCCAGTCAACAACCACCAAGTCCTAACATCTCTGCATCTTAAACACCCCTGTCCCCTGCCCCTGCCTAGCCCAGGCCCATCCCCACTCACCTGGATGTCTACAGCAGGCTTCTTCTAACAGGTACCCTGAATTCAAAACTGCCCCCACCCCAACCTTCAGCCCTCCTAAAGAGTGATCTTTCTAACATGCAAATATGTTTGTGTCACTCCTGTAGGCAAAACTGCACATTACCTGACACCACCCACCAGCTATTTTGTGACATGGCCCATCTCAAACCACCACCAACTCCTAAAATCCTACATTATGTATGTACATGCTGAAGTCGTTCTTAAACACATCCTGATCTTTCCCATCTCCAGGCTCTGCCTAGTACATTCTTCCTTCTTTTTGTCTTCATGCCCAACTGCAGTTCATGCCTTTGCCTGGTTAACTCACAGCCTACATCTGTTTCCTTCAAGGATCTTCCCTGAACACCAAGCTCCCAAGAACACCGGACATCCTCCATTTAATCTTTCATTTCATACTATATTGTAATGGTCAGTTTTCTTGCCTGTCTTTGCCACTAAATTATAATCTCTGTGAGGGCAGGAAGCACAGCTGTACATCCCTGGCCCACAAGCACTTGGCACGAAGCTGGCCCATGGTGGGTGCTTATTCAGTGTTTGTTGAATGAACAAATGAGCTGAAGGGTGAACAAGTGGGGAGAGGGTAAAGAGGTTGGGGCCTCAAAAAGGAGAGGATGCTTGTGGAAGAAAGGTCAAGTACAGTGCACCTGGACACATTGGCCTTAAGGAGCAGTTTGTTTCCAAGGGAAGCTTTAGAGTCCACATCAAACGTGATATTAAAGGTGACCTGGAGTTGGAAAAAGGAGAAACAGAGATAAGAATAGGTGAGAAGAAACAACCAAATGTCCATCAGCTGATGAATATATAAAATGCGGTCCGTTCATACAATAGAATAGTATTCATTAATAAAAGCGTTGCTCATGAATAAAATTGTTCATTAATAAAATGAATGTTGTTCATGAATAAATTATTCACATTGTTCATCAATAAAAAGAAATGGAGTACTGACACATGCTACAACATGAATGATTCTTGCTAAGTCCTTGCCAACATTATGCTAAGGGAAATAAGTCAGTCACAAAGGACCACATAATGGATAGTTTCGTTTATATGAAATATCCCAAATAGTCGAATCTACAGAGACACAGCAGATTGGTGGTTGCCTAGGGCTTGGTGGGGGAAAGATGGGAGGATTGGGCTGATCGCCAAGGGGGACAGGGTTTCTTTAGGAAGTAATAAAGATGTTCCAAAATTGACAGTGGTGACGGATTCACAACTCTGTGAATGCACCACAGCCACTGAGTTCTGCACTTTAAATAGGTGAATTGTATGGAATGTGAATTATATCACAATAAAACTGTTTTGTGAAAAAATGAACTGGCACTTTAAAAAGGAAGAATTCCAAAAGGAAAGGAAGGAGAAGAGGAGAGCCGGTAGTTCTGACCTTTGAGTTTTCTGGGAAGATGGAGTAGTTTATTTGGCAGTTGATGCTCTTCAAGGCCCCAGGCCCTTCGGTGGACATGGAAGGATCACAGTCCGGGTGCCAGGATCGCTGTGAGTGCTGGCTCTAGGAGGCAAGGGTGGTCATGTCAACTGTCAGCCACAGGGATGAGGAGAGCAGAGATGAGGGGAAGCCTCAGAAGGGTTTGGATACCTGGGATGTTGACGCCTTCCGGTAGGACAAGCCAAGTGGGTAGAAGAAGGTGACCCGAGTCCCATAGGAGTCTTCGCCCTCATTTCTCACAGTCACTGTCACATTGAATTCCCGGGGACCACCCACCACCAGGGTTTCCAGGCTGCGAGAGGAACAAGACAGGCCATGAGACACTGAGGGCCTCCCTGTGGCAAGTCTGTTCTGGTAGAGAGGAGATGCAGGCTCTTGAAGAGAGGTGACAGTCGATGGGGCAGCCACAGGGACTTTGTGGCACACAAGTACCTCACAAGGAGCTGCTCTGTACCAGGCTCCCCCAGGGACCAGGAGAAGACCAGAGCACTGGTCGTGGTACAGGCTTGGAGGAGGCAATGACAAAAGGGAAACTCACTTTATAAAGCTGAAGGTGATACTGAGGTCATCCTGGCAGATGCTGTCATTGCCACAGTTCTTCTCAAAGGGAAACTGCAAAAAATAGGATACAATGAAAGAAAAGGAAATAATGAAATGTTGTGAAAAGAAGCAATAAAATAAAACATTGAAATAAAATTATGTGAAATAAAATAAAGTACGCTTCAATGATCTTGGCCTCCAGTCACTTCCATGTCCCTGCAAGACCTCAACTCTAGACTCACCAAGGCTGTGAAGAGTCTCTGAGCGTCCGCAGCCAGCACTGGCCGGAGGTTCCCGAAAGAGGACAAGGGCTTCCCCACCAGAGAGAAGTTGAGGCGCAGGACAATGGGCTTCACGGAGTCCTTTATACAGTTCTGAGGGATAGCAGGGATTTGGGCATCTGCTCTCCTCAGGTTCCCAAGCCCACCCCATTCTTGGAGGACCCTGGGGGCTGGCCATGCACCTGCTCACCAGCAACTGTAGCTTCAAGGTCTCACACTTCTGGGCCAACCCCAAGGTCTGTGTCTGCGTGCATGTTCTGTTCTTTGTCTCCTCAAAGATGGCACGGAAATCTGAGCGGCCGGAGTCCAGAACCAGGTCATAAGTGATAGTGCTCTGTATCTCACCTGAAGGGGCAGGGTAACATAGCAGTGGGGAGCCTGAGCTTCAGAGTCCGACAGACAGGAGTTTGAGGCCCAGTTCCTCTGCTCCCCAGCTATATGACTTTAGGCATGCTGTCTCTCCTCTCTGAATATCAATTTCTTATTTTGTTAAGTGAGTATAATAATTATGCCTTCCAAAAGGGGAAAGTGAGATGACATAGTGCCTGTAAAGCATTTAGCACAGTGTCTGCCACACGTTAAGTGCTCAAACAGTAGCTATCCTGTTACATACTAAAAATTTAATTATATTTTTCTGGCTGCTTTAATTTTTTTCCCTTTGTCTTTGGTCTTCAGCAATTTGACTATAATGAACCTTGGTATGATTTCCCTTATATTTATTCTGCTTTGATTTTTTAAAAAATCTTGATGTCTTTCAATGGTTTTCAAAAATTCTTAACCACTATTTTGTTAGATCTTTCACCACATCCTATATGTTATGATGTCTTCTTGTATTTTAAATCCTTTTTTCTCTCCATGTGTTAATCTGGATACTTTGAATTGTCTTGTTTCTAATTCACTAATTCTCTGTTCTGCTTCTAATCTGTTACTAGATCTATGTATTGAATTCTTTTTTTTTTTTCTGTTTTCTGCTGGCTTATTTTGAACTCTGTTTCTTTTTTTTTAATTAATATTTTTTATTATGATATTGTGGGGTACAGTTAAGGGTTAGGTATACAAATATGATTCGTTCAGGCACCCTTGTTGATAGGAGGTGTCTCCCTGTGTACTGAATTCTTAATTTTAGCCATTGTATTTTCCAGTACCAGACTTTCTGTTTTACTCTATTTTATGAATTCCAGGCATTGCTGAAGTTCTATGTTCTTTCTTTTTTTTCTTGAAGATATTAATTGTAGTCAGCTTTTTTTAAATTCCTATCCAATCATTCTGATTTCTGCCACCCATGGTCTGTTTCTATTGTCTGTTGTTTCTTTTGGTTGCTGCTCAGTTGTCTCAATGGAAAGGCCAAGGTGTTTACCAAGACCCCTCTCAAATCTCTGTATCCACAGCACTGGGAAGCTGTAAATTCTCTGCTCATCTCTTTAGCTTTTCAATTTCTGTTTTCTATTGGATTTCTTGGAGTATTGACTTGGGTGTTCACAGTATGAGAGATAGTCAATGACTTCAGGAGAATTTCTATGTAGATTTTGGGGTACTTTCTCTGTAATTCCCTATTCTCTAAGCTTTTGCTCTTAATTTCTAGCTTTGCTGGCTGCCCCAGTCTCTGACTGCTATCTCCTCAGCCCAGCAAGAAACAAACTTTTTTTTTTTTAGTCAGGTTCTCACTCTGGCTGAAGTGCAGTGGCATGATCACAGCTCAACACAGCTTCAATCTCCTAGGCTCAGGTAATCCTTCCACCTCTGCCTCCCAAGTAGCTGGAACTAGTGTGGGTGCCACCACTTCCAGCTAATTTTCTGATTTTTTTTAAATTTTCTGATTTTTTTGTAGAGACGATGTCTTGCTACATTGCCCAAGCTGGTCTTGACCTCCTGAATTCAAGCAATCCTCCCACTTCAGTCTCCCAAAGCGCTGGGATTACAAGTGTAAGCCACCACACCAGACTGGAAAGATACTTTTTTTTAAAGACAGGTCTCACTATGTTGCCCAGGCTGGCCTCAAACTCCTGGGTTCAAACAACCCTCTTGCCTCAGCCTCCCAAGTAACTGAGACTACACAGAGTGCCACCATGCCTGACTAGTAATTTTATCTCCTCTTCCTGTTTCTTTCCAATACTGCCATTACTATTCCCTCTTCCTAAGCACAGTTCCACTCTTGGAGAATAGGGACTAGGGAGGAAGTCAGGTTACTGGTGATAAGATGCACATCTGACTGCTTTGTGACTTTGTTTATTTTCATCAACTCAATCTCTCCAAATGAGTTTGTTCTCAATTGTTCACAGGTGGGGGACCTTCAGTTCTCTGATAAACTGAGAGAGTAAGGAAGCTCCACATGCTCACTTCTTTAGGAAGATTTGTTTGGCTTCTCCAACCAGCAGGACAATAGCCTGCTCACTCTGGTCAAGCTTGGAGAAAGCTGTTAGAACCGTGAGAAGTTTGCTCAGGACTACCAGAAGGCTGGGCGGAGTAGGCAGAGCCACTCATCAACATCCCCAGTTAACTTCTTGAGACTTATCCACCAAAGCCTCACCTTCTCTCAGCCGATCCCGTGTGCTCTTGCGGACATGGAGGCAGACTCTGACCTCCCCAGCAGGCTGGTTTTTTGCCATCTGGTCATGACATTCGAATACATTTCTTGCCACTTCTCTCGGTGAGAACTCCATGGTCACCTCGACTCTCAGCACTGGCTGAGACCTGCAGAGGCACCAGGAAACCATTAGGGATCTTCAACTAGCAAAGAAGCTCCTGGTCTGCTCCAAAAGGAATTCTCACCTGAGCAGCAGCACCTGGCCCTGGGCCCCTACAGTCAGGTCTGCCAGTCCATCCCTTGTAAGGTCCTGGCCCCCGCTCAGTGACTGACCGAAATACTGGAGACTGCGAGAGAGCTGGGCGCCTGCAATCCGCTGAGGGTAAAAAAAAAAAAAGAGGAGAGAAAGGGAGTGGAAAATAATGGGAAAGTGTGTAACTCAGTCATCCAGGGCGACCAAAGATTTTCTAAGCTCTACCCAAGTATCATCTCCTACAACTAACAAAGGAATTAGGGCAACTTAGAATTTATCGGGAAATTATTCATCTTTAGGCCTTTAGATCACAACCTCAAGATACTGGCCACAATTTCTTTCAATTCCCTGCGTTTCCCAGAGAAAACAAACAGTTGTGGAGAAAAAAGTAAATTATTTGGTTCAGCTGAATCTCATTTACATGGTCAAAATAATGAAAACACTGGATATTGACTTAACCAGAATTATAACACAAATAAGAGGAGTGAATGGTGGGTAAGGGGGTATTAATGTGTGGCAAGAGGGAGACTGAAAAAGAGCTCAGTCCTCACCTTCATGGTGGCAATTCAGTACTAAAACAAAAATCAAGAAGTAGCAAAATAATCGTGTTAATTTTTTTTTTAGATGGAGTCTCACTCCACCACCCAGGCTGGAGTACAGTGGCACGCTCACTGCCACCCCAGTGTCGACCTGCTGGGCTCAGGCAATCCTTCCACCTCAGCCTTCCTAGCCGGAACTACAGGCATGCACCATCACACCTGGCTAATTTTTCTTGACTTATCGTGGAGCTGAGGTCTTGCTGAGTTGCCCAGGCTGGTCTCAAACCCATAGGCTCAGGCGGCCCTCTCACCTTGGCCTCCCTAAGTGCTGGGATTACAAGCTTGAGCCACTGAGCTCGGCCTGTGTTATTTTGACATACAGAGAATAATTGCAAAAACTGAAAGTGATTTCCTCAAGGGAAGGGGAAATGAAGCAGAAATCATAGTGTGTGTGGAAATTGTTGTTTTTAAGAATAAGCCTTTTATAACTATGTTGACTCTCTAAACTATGTGCAAGAGCAACATTGAGAAAATAGCAGCCAAATAATAAATTTAAAAGAAATTTTAAAAGCGATTTTGTCGTGTTCTTAATGCTTGTGAATTGTATACTTTAAAATGGTTAAAATGGTAAATTTTATGTCTTGTGTATTTTACCACACTTTAAAGTTATTATGTCAACTAAACGGAAAAATGAGGAAACACAGGATGCTGTAAATGTTCTATATCTTACTCTAGATGGTGGTTACTTGGGTTTCATGATATTTAAAAATTAATCACTTAAGAATTGCATGTGAAGCAGAGACACCCCCTTGGACTGAAGAACCGAGAAAAACTTCAATTAAACAGTAAGAGGAACAGTGTTCTTTGACTGTGGTGCCCTCCCCCCCAAGCCATCACAGAGTCATCCACAGAGAATTCCCCTGTACCCACAGTGTCTATGCTGGGAAAAGTGAGTTGGAGGTAGACATTCAGCTTTCCTACCATTCTGGGATGCTTCACAGAAGGCTCGCCTCTATCTCATCCCATGGGAAACTTTGTTAGTACTGGCAGGACTAGGCCATCTGTGTCCAATTGGAAACAAAGAACAGGGTGGAGCTCACAGCAACCAGTGCATGGATTTCTGCATTCTGGCCAATGGAGGGGTCATATCAGAGAAAACTAGTCAACTGCATCATACTGCAAGTAACACAGTCCATGGGTCTTCCAGGCCTGAATCCCTAGCTAGTTTCCCCACACTGTCAAGGTACTTTCATTAAGTCTTTCCAAGTCAAGAGACAACTGCAGATCAGCAATTATCTATAGTAATAGCACCTGGTCCTGCCCTAACCTAGTAGTGGAAAAGTTATCTAACTAAACCCTGGTGCTTTCGTTAAATCCTCTCCAAGCCAGGAGGCTACTGCAGATCAGCTACCACCTCAGAGGGAACACCAGATGCTGACTGGTAAGTTCACCAGATCTCATTGCTCTTTTTAAGCCTACATGGGGCCAGGAGGCAAACCCAAGTCTACACATCTCTGGAGCATAGCCTCTGACACTGCCTACCCAAACAGCTAAGTAGCAATCCTAGTGACCTCACCCAGCCTCAAAGCCCATCACACAGCCCTTCCCAGCTATAGATTCCAAACAACAGTACCACTCAGCCAGGGAAGACAACTGCAACCCTGTCCTTTTGGAGATAATTAATGAGTTCAGCCAGCAGCCCCACCTGATGGCAAAGTTCAGCCAATGGTCTCACCAAACCATGGAGCACAGTCAACAGTACCAATCAACCTCAGAGCACAGGAAACAACCCAGTCCAACTAGGGAAAATGACACCAAGGTCTGCCTGTCCGTATTGCTATCAGCTGGCTCATCTTAAATCCCAGGCTAGACTAAAATGAAGATCTATGACCACCAGAGAAGGGGTAGAAGAGGTGACTGTCTCCTCAAATGTGCAAACATCAACATAAGAACACCAGAATTATGAAAAATCAGGAAAATATGACACCACCCAAAGAAACTGATAAAGTTCCAGTAATGGGCCCAGCAAAAATGGAGATCTATGAAATGACTTATAAAGAATTCTGAATAATCCTCTTAAAGACGTTTAGGCAACTACAAAAAACACAATTCAAAAATTAAATGAAATTTGGAGAACAATTCATAAACAAAATCAGTGGTTTGAAAAGAAATAGAAATAAATCCTAACGATAAAGAATGTATTATAACAACTGGCCGGGCATGACAGCTCACGCCTATAATCCCAGAACCTTGGAGGGCTGAGGCAGGAGAAATGCCTGAGCCCAAGAGTCTAGACCAGCCTGGGCAACATAGTGAGACCTCGTCTCTACAAAAAAAATACAAAAATTAGCTGGGCATGGTGATGTGTACCTATAGTCCTAGCTACTTGAGAGGCTGAGGTAGGAGGATCAGTTGAGCCTAATAGGTCAAGGCTGCAGTGAGCAGGGATCATGCCACTGCATTCCAACCTGGATGACAGAGTAAGACCTTGTCTCGAAGAAAAAATCATAAATGAATGAAAATTTCAGTAGAAAGTTCAACAGCAGACTTGATCAAGTAGAAGAAACAGTGAGCTTAAATAAAAAACATTTGGAGTTAACCAATCAGAGGAGCAAAAAGAATAAAAAAAGATGAACAAGGCCTACAGGAATTATGGGACACCATCAAGTGAACTAACCTTTCCATAACAGACGTTTCAGAATGAGAAGAGAGAGGAAAAAGTCTAGAAAACATATGTAAAGAAATAATGGCTGAAATATCCCCAAATTTGGAAAAACAATGACAATATCCAGGTACAAGAAGCTCTGAGGTCACGAATCAAATTCAACCCAAAAAGGAATTCACCAAGGCACATCATAATTGATTTATGAAAAATCAAAGACACAAGACCAATGGAAGGCCCAAACTTCACCTGTACATAGACCACTTATGTACCTAATCCTCACTTGTACCCCACATCTTTAAAATAAAATATTTTAAAAAGTCAAAGACAAAGAAAAAATACTGAAATATATCAAAGTGATGAAAGAAAAACACTGCCAACCTAGAATCTTTTAGCTGGCAAAGCTGTCCTTCAGGAATGCAGGAGAAATAAAAACTATCCCAGACAAACAAAAGCTAAGGAAGTTCGTCACCACTACACCTGTTTTAGAGGAATTGCTTAAGGGAATTCTTTAAGCTGAAACAAAAGACTGCTAATTAATCACAAAAAGCATATAAAAGTAAAAAACTCAATGGTATAAGTAATACACAGTAATACTCAAAATTCTCTAAAACTGTAAAAGGGATATGTAAAACAATTTTATCTTTACTAGGAGGGAGAAAAGAAAGCACTACTTAAGCAACTATTGCTATAATGAAATGTTCAGAAATACAAATTACAAAAACAAATGTAAAACTTGGCATTGAAATTATAAAGGTGAGGAGTAGAGAGGAAAAGTGTAGAGTTTTTGTATGTAATTACAGGCATGGTGTTATCAGCTTAACATAGACTGTTATAAGGTTAGGATATTTTATGTAAGTCTCCTGGGAATTACAAAGCAAAAACCTATAGTAGCTATACAAAATATAAAAAGAAAGGATTCAAAGCATATCACCACAGAAGATCATCAAACCACAAAAGAAGGCAGTAAGAGAGGAAGAAAAAAATAACAGACCTGCAAAACAATCAGAAAACAAAGTCAGTAGCACATCCTTACCCTTCCATAAATACCTTGAATGTAAACTGACTAAATTCTCCAAAAAAATTATCCAATCAAAAGACATAGAGCAGCTGAATGGGTTTTAAAAAATCTAACCATATGCAGGCTACAGAGATCCACTTTATTAGTTAGGATGCACAAAGACTAAAAGTGAAGAGATGGGAAAATATATTACACACAAATGGAAACCAAAAGAGAGTAGGGAAGCTATACTTATGTCAGACAAAATATACTATAAGTTGAAAACTATAAAAAGAGACAAACAATCATTACATAATGATAAAGAGGTTAGTTCGCCAAAAGGCACAATAATCATAAATGTATATGCACCAAACATTGGTGCACCTAAATACATAAAGCAATTATTAAATTATCTGACAGTAGAGATAGACTGCAATACTGTGATAAAAGGAGATTTCAGTGTCCACTTTCAACAATGGATAGATCATCTAGACAGAAAATCAATCAAGAAACATTAGACTTTAATTACACTTTACATCAAACAGATCTAACAGAATATTTCATCCAACAGTAGCAGAAGACATGTTTTCTCAAGTACACACAGAATATTTTCCAGGACAGATCAAATTTTAGGCCATAAAACAAATTTTAATTAATTTTAAAGGATTGAAATCATACCAAGTATCTTTTCAGATCACAATGGCATGAAGTCAATCTTGAGAAAGAACAATGCTAGAAGCATTGCACTTCCTGATTTTAAAATCATTGCATGGTGGGTGGAATGTTCTCAGAGGCACAGTGGGCATTGCCAAGGCACAGGCACTGCTGCCAGAGCCACAACCAGAGCCCACTCTGGCCCCTGCTGCCATCAGTGACCCCCGCCCTCTGTGGCCATCGCACCCTGAGGAAGCATCCCAGGCCT